AAGTGCCGGTACGATCAAGTGCAGCAAGTTCCTCAGACATAGCCTGTTGCCATTCCGGAATACGTGAAGCTTCCAGATAAGTGGATGGTTCATCAACAATAGCACTCGCACGTGGAAAACCCAAACAGTCAGGAGGCTCAATAGTAGCACGATCACGTAAGTTATATCTCGGATGATCCATTAACTCTCCATGAATATCGTATGATACATTAGAATCAACAGTGTTGTCTAGGACGGGAGTGTCAGGACTGGCCGAGACAGGAGAATGAGGCCGAAGCGTTGTATGACCTAGTGGACGACGAGTATAAACATGTGTGATAGGTGGTCTATATGAAGAAGGCTCATCAACAACGGGTGGTGGAAACTCATCATGAGAGGTGGTGACATCATCAAGAAAAGAAATAGGAGGAAGACACAAGAAGGACGTAGACTCTGTAGAAGAAGAAGAAGATGTAGGGTGTGTAGAACGGTTATAAAAGAAAGGACGATCCTCGACAAAGGTTACATCACGAGATATATGCATACGACGAGAAGAAGAATCATAACATCAATAACCCTTATGCTCAGGACTATACCCCAAAAAGATACACTCAACCGACTGAGAAGTCAATTTAGTGCGCTCACGAGGAGCAAGTAACACATAACATGTACATCCAAAGACCCGAAGATGATCATAACTAGGGAGATGGCCAAAAAGAACCTCACCAAGACACTTATCAGACAATTTAGATGACGGTTGTCGGTTAATGAGATAAATAGCTGTAGACGCAGCTTCTCCCCAAAAATGAGAAGGAACAAAAGAGGCAATGAGAAGGGTTCAAGTAGTCTCAATAAGATGGCGGTGTTTTCTCTCAGCAACACCATTCTGAGCATGTGCATCAGGACAGGAGAGTTGGGCAAGAGTACCCTCAGAGGTCAAAAACTGACGAAAATTGTCAAATAAATACTCACTACCAAAATCAGAACGAAAAACTCGAATAGGAGTATAAAACTGAGTATGAACCATGCGAGCAAAATCCTTATAAATGGAACACAACTGAGAACGGTGTTTCATAAAATATATCCAAGTATAACGAGAATGATCATCAATAAAAAGAACATAATATTTATTGTCACTTTTTGTAGGAAAAGGGGATGGACCCCATACAACAGAGTGGATAAGATCAAAAGGCCTAGCCGAATGAGAAATACTAGTAGAATATGGGAGTTGCAACTGTTTCCCGAGTTTGCAACCCTTACAATGAAAAATAGACTCAACAGAAGTACGACCTAAACAACCATTCCTAATCAAAATAGACAAACGGGACCCACACAAATGACCAAGACGATGATGCCATTTAGAAAAGGATGAGACGAAAGACGAGGCAATGGATGACACAGAGCGGTAGAACCAGGTGGAGAGGGAAGATAAAAAGTGTCTAGGATGTAAATATTAGAAGAATCCCTACGGCGATGGCCAGTCCCAATCACAGTCCCACTTCAACGATCCTGAATAAAACAAGATGAGTCATCAAATCCAACAAAACAATTTTGATCAGTGACTTGACCAACTGAAAGAAGGTTCATGGATAACTTAGGAACATAAGAAATATTAGGTACTGAGAAACGTGAATTGTTTAGAGAACCTTGATGAGTAATATGACAAGATGTGCCATCATTTGTCTGAATAGAAGTACCATCAGTGACCGATTTACAGCTAACCAACTGAGACTAATCAGAAGTCACATGGAATGATGCCCCTGAATCAAGAACCCAAGACTGAGGAGCATTGACAGGTGAAGCAGCAGCAACAGATGCAGACCCTTTAGTAACACGAGTCGTACCATGAGTCCGAGCAACACAACGTGCACGATACTCAGCTAATTTTTCTGGATGCTGAGCAAAACAATTTTCTGCAATATGACTTGTTTTCCCGCAATGCTGACAAGAGTCTGAAGAACCACCTTTTGGTGCACTAACCCGTTGGGAGGATGCCCGATGAGAAGCAGCTAATACACCATGAGATATTGTCGACGGAGCATGTGACATAGAATGGAGACAAGTCTCTTCAGCAATCAACTCAGACAATGCTTGTGCCATGGTTAGAGTAGAAGAATTATGAAGTAATCGTGTACGAATAGACTCAAATTCTGCTCTAACCCCCATGACAAAGCGGTATATAAAAAATTTCTCAACAAATTTATGTGCTGAACACTCCTCTTCTGTGCATGGAGGCACCATGGAGATCAATGGTCCCATCAAACGATCAAAAGTTGAGTAGTACTCATCAATGGACAAATCATTCTGTTCAAGGACATGAATTTGTTGCATAAGTGTGTGCAAGAGTGCACCACTATCCTGAACGTAGCGTTGTTGCAAACAAGACCACATCGTCTTAGCTGTTCGAAACGTGGAAAGACTCATAATCATGGACTGCTTGACACTATTGACGATGGCAGCCATCACTTTCCCGTCATTAATTTGCCACGTTTTGATCTCAGCAGCATTGCTATTGTCAACTTTTCGTTCAGGGTCGTCATCAGTCAAGTGAAAGGCTAGACCATAACCCCTCAATAGTGTTTCCACAGAAAAAGCCCACTCCCGATAATTTTGGCCATCGAGAGTGATATTGATAACAATGGCATTGAGTTGCGACATGATTCGACAGTAGATGACAAAATACCTCCGCAATGGGCGGGCGATATGCAAACAATGATATAATAAGACAGATGAGGCTGCGACATGCAGCGTAAGATCACAAGACGGACGTGTGAAGGCTCAAATCAGGAACTGAGTAGTGTTGGGATCGATCGGAACAAACGAACCCTATCCACGACACAGATTTGGTCTGAAAAAGCCAAAACGGACACCCAAAAGACTTCAAACAGAAAACTGACACCACTGGCAGCAACCTCTCGAAATTCTGATCCGACTGACGTTCGCCGGAGAAAATTCCGGCCAACCACGCGCCCCCACGCGCCGGCGCGTGAGATGCCCAGCAGCGAAATTTTCCGGCGCGTGTAACTCACACGCGTGGTATTTTTCGACGATGTTTGGCCGGAGAGTGAATATAGGGGCGGCGAGATGACTGGTGTGGGAGGTGAGACTTGAAGGAGAAGGGAAAAAGAAATATTTGTTGTGGCTCGATACCATGTTACATACCTAGGTTTACTGCGTTGATGACATTGTTTGATATGAAAGGGCCAATATATAAAGAATTGATCATGGGCATGGGCCTTGAGATACTTAACAACATTCTCGATCGGGACTTCACAGACATCGGTTTTGTGCTTGACGGGATCAAATGATGTTGATGTGTCTGTGCACTCGTCAATCGATTTTGAATTTCGACCGGCTCAGGAGATCTTCTCAGCTGTTTCTTTGCGGGCTCAGCTGAGGCCAACTGATTTTTGAGGCATTTGAGCTCGTCATGTGCCTGCCCGAGCTGAGATTCGAGCTCGGCTATTCGGCTACCGAGTTTCTTTTGGTTAAAAAGGTCGGGTTGTGAGGTTCGAGGGGATCGCCCGTTGGATAGTTTCGGGATTTTATCAGTCCTCGGACGAGCGTGGTGATTTAATGAATCGGAATCGGAGCTCGATGTCCTGAGGCTAGGCGGGCCTCCACGGGGAGATGGGCGTTGGGGCACATCTGTGGCTCTGGAAATCAACAGTTTATATAAAATGAAAGTTTTACACTTCATTTTAATATGTTTATATTGTTACTAGAAGTTAATTTTGTACATTATTTATATTTAATAACAAATTAATTTAATATTTTGTAATATCGGTAAAATAGACGGTAAAAACGGTTGAACCGCGTGCGGTTGGCTCGTTCAATATAATACCGGTACTTTATTTAAAAAATGTGTTTTAATTAATATTCTCCAATGTTTTTTTTTTTTGCTATTTTGTTGCTAGCCCCAGGTTTTAAGTTTAATAATTTTTTTTTATCTATTATCAGGCGGGTTGGCCCGCCTAGCCCATGGACGTGTTGGGCCAGGCTGCCATTTCACAGGGCCTCCGAGATGGCCGGCGGGCCCGCCATGCCCTACAAACGATGGGCTTTGGTGCGCTGTGGGCTGTCCCGATAAATACCCGTTACCTTATCACACGACGTTGTATGCGCCGATCACCCACCTCGAGGCGCTGCTGCCTTTAATCATCCCAAACCCTCCTATACGCCACCGTCCTAGGCGTTGGCCGTTTTCTCCTTCCCTGAAAAGCTCTTCTTCATCTCTGGGAGGTAGATTTTAGCATCTATTGGTGTTCTACTGAGCCGAAAGAAAGATGGGAGAACGGAAGGTTTTGAACAAATACTACCCGCCGGACTTCGATCCGGCGAAGATTCCTCGCCGGAGGCAACCCAAGAACCAACAGATGAAAGTGCGGATGATGCTTCCTATGAGTATTCGGTGTGGGACGTGCGGTAATTACATCTACAAGGGAACTAAATTCAATTCCCGTAAGGAAGACGTCGTGGGGGAGGTGGGTTTTGTGCACTTGTGTGCCTTTTCTGCTGTTTTAAATGAATGATGGTTGTTTTTCAAATTCTGATTCCGTTGTGATGTTGAAATTTGTTCTGCTTTGCTTTAGGGTTTAGGGAAATTTTGAGGGTTAAAGGCTGTACATTTGGATGGAGTTGTACATAGTCCAGTGTGGTGACGTAATTAGCTTTTTGTTTCTATCCTTCTCTTGATCCTGAGGATTTCACAACGTTTAAATTTTGGTGGCTGTGAATTTTTATGTGTCCTTGAAAAATAAGAATCCTATGAAAACTTATTTCTTCAAAGCATCATTTATGGGAGAGAGGCTTTATCTTTGTAATTGTGTAGTGCACTATCTGCATTTTTTCACGGTGTAGATTACCTGCTTTGAAAATACAAGCTGCACATATGGTGCACGATTCCAGAATTTGTATGTGCTGTATGTGTAAGCCTATGTCGATTATTTGATTCAAAATGGTGCTGCAGCAGCTGTGATCTACTTTGTTCTAAATTTGGCAATGTCTCCTTTTGTCTGCAGACCTATCTGGGCATCCAGATTTTCAGATTTTATTTCAAGTGCACCAAATGTTCAGCAGAAATAACTTTCAAGACGGATCCCCAGAATTCAGATTATGTTGTTGAGTCTGGTGCCAGTAGGAATTTCGAACCTTGGCGTGCAGAGGATGAGGTTAATTATTGATTTTTTT